AAGGTCAAAGGGTCAAAGTCGTTGGTATCCAAAGGAAGGTCTTTTCACAAAAATTACACATGGCATGACTTAAAAAACATGCCACAAACTTGTCGAAAACACCAGGTTAGAGACAAGTGTCCCATCCAGAGGAGATGAATGGGGAAAAAATATGGATATCACCATGACAGGGTAGTATATACTTAGATAACTCCATTACAGGGTAGTATATACTTAGATATCACCATGACAGGGTAGCATATACTTAATGCTTAAAAGAAAACAAGATGTGTTTGTGAAACACTGATGCCCACGCATGGCAAGTTATAGCAAAGGTTAAACTTTCTCAAATGCAAATCAATTATGTTGGTACCTAAAGTAAGGTCTTCACTCGAGCAATAAATCTGTGAAATATGAAAGCCTTATCAGCAACCATTGAATAGATATGAAAAAAATTAAAGTTTTTTTTTTCAAAAGTATGTCAAACATCAAGGTCAAATGGTCTAAATTAATAGTGCCCACGGAAAAACCTTCTCCCAAGAAATACACATGTGGAATACGAAAGCCGAAGCACCAATCGTTCAAAAGTTATGACAAAGGTTAAAGTTTTCCAAAAGTAGGCCACACTCCAAGATCAAGGTCAAAGTTGTTGGTATCCAAAGAAAGGTCTTGTCACAAGGATTACATATGTGAAGTATGAACGCCCTAGCACCAACTAATCAAAAGTTATGGCCAAGATTAAAGTTTTCCAAAAGTAGGTCACACTCCAAGGTCAATGGGTCAAAGTAGTTGGTATCCAAAGGAAGGTCTTGTCGCAAAAATTACACATATGAAGTATGAAAGACCTAGGACCAATCATTCAAAAGTTATGGCCAAGGTTAAAGTTTTTCGCAAGTAGGTCAAACTCCTAGGTCAAGGTCAAAGGGTCAAAGCTGTTGGTATCCTAAAGAAGGTCTTTTCAAACGGATTATACATGTGAGGTATGAAAACCCTAGTACCAATTGTTCAAAAGTTATGGCCAAGGTTAAAGTTTGGTTGAATTTTGCAAAACTGGCTCAAACTCCAAGGTCAAGGTCAAATGGTCAAAATTAATAGTGCCCTCGGAAAAGCCTTCTCCCAAGAAATACACAGGTGGAATATGAAAGCCGAAGCACCAATCGTTCAAAGTTATGACAAAGATTAAAGTTTTCCATAAGTAGGTCAGACTCCAAGGTCAAAGCGTCAAAGTTTTAGGTATCCAAATAAAGGTCTTGTCACAAGGATTACATATGTAAAGTATGACAGCTTTAACACCAACTGTTCAAAAGTTATTGCCAAGGTTAAAGTTTTCCAAATGTAGGCCAAACTCCAAGGTCAAAGGGTCAAAGTCGTTGGTATCCAAAGGAAGGTCTTTTCATAAAAATTACACATGTGAAGTATGAAAGCCCTAGCACCAATCGTTCAATAGTTATATCCAAGGTTAAAGTTTTTCAAAAGTAGGTCAAACTCCTAGGTCAAGGTCAAAGGGTCAAAGTTGTTGGTATCCAAAGGAAGGTCTTGTCAAAAGGATTATACATTTGAGGTATGAAAGCCCTTGTTTAAAAGTTATGGCCAAGGTTAAAGTTTGGTAGAATTTTGCAAAACTGGGTCAAACTCCAAGGTCAAGGTCAAAAGGTCAAAAATGGTGGCACCAAAGAAAAGTCTTGTCACAAGGAATACATATGTGAAATATGAAAACCATGGCTTCAACAAATCAAAGTTATGGCCAAGGTTAAAGTTTTTGCGGACAAACAGACAGACAGACGGACGGACAGGGCAAAAACTATATACCCCCAAATTTTCTATACCGGGATATAATAATGAATACAAACCTGTTTAGGTATACACAATAAAAAACACCTAAAAAAGGGAAAAAAGATGGGACTTGATTAAAAAAAAAACATGACACAAACTTGTCGAAAACACCGGATTAGAGACAAGTGTCCAATCCAGAGGAGATGAATGGGGAAAAATATGGATATCACCATTACAGGGTAGCATATACTTAGATATCTCCATGACAGGGTAGTATATACTTAGATATCACCATGACAGGGTAGCATATACTTAATACTTAAAAAACAAGATGTGTTGTGAAACACTGATGCCCCCGTGTGGCAACTTATAGAGAAGGTTAAACTTTCTCAAATGCAAATCAGATATATTGGTACCCAAAGTAAGGTTTTATCTCGAGGAATATACCTATGAAAGCCTTAGCAGCAACCATTGGTTAGATTTGAAAAAGATTAACGTTGTTCCAAAAGTATGTCAAACATCAAGGTCAAGGTCCAATGGTCAAAATTAATGGTGCCCACGGAAAAGCCTTCTCCCAAGAAATACACAGGTGGAATATGAAAGCCGAAGTACGAATCGTTCAAAAGTTATGACAAAGTTAAAGTTTTCCAAAAGAAGGTCAGACTCCAAGGTCAAGATCAAAGGGTCAAAGTTGTTGGTATCCAAAGAAAGGTCTAGTCACAAGGATTACATATGTGAAGTATGAAAGCCCTAGCACCAACCGTTCAAAAGTTATGGCCAAGGTTAAAGTTTTCCAAAAGTAGGTCAAACTCCAAGGTCAAAGGGTCAAAGTCGTTGGTATCCAAAGGAAGCTTTTTAACAATGATAACTCATGGGAAGTATGAAAGCCCTAGCACCAAATGTTCAACAGTTTTGGCCAAGGGGAAAGTTTGTCAAAAGTATGTCAAACTCCTAGGTCAAGGTCAAAAGGTCAAAGTTGTTGGTATCCGAAGGAAGATCTTGTCATAAGAATGACACATGTGAAGTATGAAAGCCCTAGCACCAATTGTTCAAAAGTTACTGGCAAGGTTAATGTTTGGTAAAATTTGTAAAACTGGGTCAAACTCCAAGGTCAAGGTCAAAAGGTCAAATGTGGTGGTACCCAAAGAAAGGTCATGTCACAAGAAATACACATGTGAAATTTGAAAGCCATAGCTCCAACCAATCAAAAGTTATGGGCAAGGTAAAAGTTTTTGCGGACAAACAGACAGACAGCTAGACAGACAGACAGACAGCCGGACGGACAGGGAAAAAACTATATACCCCCGAATCTATGGCCAAAGTTATTAACGATTTTTCAAAAGTAGGTCAAACTCCAAGGTCAAAGGGTCAAAGCTGTTGGTATCCAAAGGAAGGTCTTGTCACAAGGATTACACATGTGAAGTTTGAAAGACCTCACCAACTGTTCAAAAGTTTTGTCCAAGGTTAAAGTTGGGTAAAATTTTGTAAAAATGCATGGGACAAACTCCAAAGTTTAGGTCAAAAGATCGAAAATGATGGTACCCAAAGAAAGGGCTTTTCACATGTGAAAATTGAAAGCAATCAAAAGTTATGAGCAATGTTAAAGTTTTTGCTTACAAACAGACAAACAGCTTAACAGACAGACGGACTTACAGGGCAAAAACTAAATACCCCCGAATCTTCGATACGGAGGCATGAAAATTAAACATAGTGAAATTATCGAAGCATGCCTGTCTAATGACTAAGATCGATCTGTCTTAAGACCGAAAGTCATCTTAAGATTCCACGATAGTTGTTTCACAAAATTAACTTTCATATTTATGATAATCCCAAGATCTATCAACCGGATACGTGTCTTAAGTCAAATGTTAATTAGGTGGTAGAATACATATTGGTAAAAAACAGAAGGTACGCATGAGAAAAAAACAAGATGTGTTTGTGAAACACTGATGCCCCCGTGTGGCAACTTATAGAGAAGGTTAAACTTTCTCAAATGCAAATCAAATATGTTGATACCCAAAGAAGGTCTTGTCTCGAGGAATATACCTGTGAAATATGAAAGCCCTAGCAGCAACCATTGAATAGATATGGAAAAGGTTAAAGTTTTTTCAAAAGTAAGTCAAACATCAAGGTCAAGGTCAAATGGTCAAAATTAATGGTGCCTAAGGAAAGGCCTTCTCACACAAGAAATATACAGGTGAAATATGAAAGCTGAAGAACCAATCATTCAAAAGTTATGACCAAGGTTAAAGTTTTTCAAAAGTATGTCAAACTCGAAGGTCAAGGTCAATGGATTACAATTGTTGATATCCAAAGGAAGGTCTTGCCACAAGGAAAAAAACATGTTAAATATGAAAGCCCTAGCAACAACTTTTCAAGGTTAAAGTTTTCCAAAAGTTGAGGTCAAAGTTCAAGGTCAAGGTCAAAGGGTCAAAGTTGTTGGTATCCAAAGGAAGGTCTTGTCACAAGGATTATATATGTGAAGTATAAAAGCCTTAGCACCAACGGTTCAAAAGTTATGGCCAAGGTTAAAGTTTTCCAAAAGTAAGTCAAACTCCAAGGTCAAGGTCAAAGGGTCAAAGTTGTTGGTATCCAAAGGAAGATCTTGTGACAAGGATTACATATGTGAAGTATGAAAGCCCTAGCACCAGCCGTTCAGAAGTTATGGCCAATGTTATTTTTTTCTAAAGTAGGTCAAACTCCAAGGTCAGGGTCAAAGGGTCAAAGTTGTTGATGTCCAAAGGAAGGTCTTGTCACAAAGATTACACAAGTGAAATATGAAAGCTCTAGCACCAATTGTTCAAAAGTTATGGCCAAGACTATTGTTGGGAAAAATTTTGCAAAACTGGGTCAAACTCCAAGGTCAAGGTCAAAAGGTCAAATATGGTGGAACCCAAAGAAAGGTCTTGTCACAAGGAATACACATGTGAAATATAAAAGCTATAGCTCCAACTAATCAAAAGTTATGGGCAATGTTAAAGTTTTGCAGCTTTCAAATGAAAATTTACATAGTTAACCTACATCAAACAACTATTCCTGGAGAAAGTGCCCTGGCCCCTGGAAACTGACAAAACATATGCATGGTCACTAATTTGATATTTATCTATTTATTATTTTATTTATTTATTCATTCATATATTTTTAGTCCAAAGTCTTTTTTTTTAATTTTACGTAGGATCTAAGTACTCTCAGTTCATTGATTATTCCTTTCGAGAGTTTATGTTGAAATCTCGCGTGATTTCAAATCAGCTTCCTGTTCGGTGGCGATTGGAAAGCGGAAACTCACAATGGGGTTGTTTGACTTTGATTTTCTGGACGATGTACGGCGAATGAACCCAAGACAGGTAAAACGGAAACACTTATCTCGATGTAGAATTCATTTTACTCTATACTCACTGCAAATAATTTCTTTCTTGAGGAAAACTTGGGGTAAGTAATATTGCAGTTCGAATTTCCTATGTTGATATATAGAAAGCGTAAGGAAATTCATGTAAAGAACTTGATGTCTTTTCTGTCATAAGCAGTATACAACTGTTTTGAAATATCTGCTTAATGAGGAAATGTATTGGAGGGTAAGAATCAATCATTTTGTCCGAGGTATTTCCGTGCAAAACCTGAACATATGGTGACCGGTTAGCAATAGCACCAGTAGCTCTCCTTGACAAAAATATACTGAAATATGTCAAAGCACGGGTACTGGAAGTTAACGTAAATGAACAGAGTTTATAAACTTTTGGAAGGTCTAGACAATGATTCACATGGCATTGTGTCTATTTCCCAGGTCCAGCACAATCTCTTGATTTAGTATATAGCTTGAAATAGCTATATAGCTTTATTAAGCTATTCAAAATAGCTTGATAAAGCTATTTCTATGCAATTTTTCACAAAAACTTTTTTTGTAAGAAATAAACAAAAATTTGCAAATATTTGACCATGCATATATGTACTATTGGCTATGAAAACAACAACCAAAATCAAAGATAGTTCTAACATTGCAGCATTTGAATACTTTTAAGAAAAAGATGAAATTCCATTGTTTGAGTAACTGTACACTACCTTGTGTGCATTGAGGAGTGGATAAGTATGATTGCTTCTCAGTGTATTGAATTATTACCAGTCAATTATCTTATTGACCATAACTGGCCTCCTTTATAATTTCACTGAAGAAGAAACTGTTTCAAATGCCTAAATAGCCCCAAAACATTTAGAACTTTGAGTACTAAGTCTCTTTAGGAGACGCAATTTGATGAGTGATTTTTACATGCATTATTTTCAGAAGAGTTCAAGGTTGAATATTATCACTGCACCAAGGTGCAACTTTTTGAACATGCTGAGAAAATAACACATTTTAGAAAAAAGTATGGTAAAATAGCTAAATCAACTATTCTGAAAAGCTTAATAAAGCTATATAGCTAAATCAAGCTATATAGCTAAATCAAGAGATTGTACTGGACCTGTTTCCAAAATGGAATATAGAAAGTGCAAATTTTTAAACAAACAGCATTGATCAACTTTCCCAATAGATAGTTTTCGACTGGCCTGAATTTAGCAAGAGTTATTTCCCTATTATGTATTTCATTGAACAAATGAATAAAGTTTTAAAAAGTAAGACTTTGTCATGTTTGTATTTCCCAGTATAGGACTTAATATCTCTTGCATGCAAGTCAAGTAAAAAGGACCCTGTCTCATCTTTTTCCCCAAAAATTAATCTAAAAATTTCCAAAATCATCCCCTGTACTGGGAAATACAAACATGACAAAGTCTCACTTTTTTAAAAATTTATTTATCTGTTCAATAAAATACATTATAGAGAAAGTAGCTGCAAAACTGTAGCTCTCTGGTTGAGAAAATTCGGACAAACATACCAGAGAGCTACAGATCCAAGCATTGTTATAAAAAGGACAATTTATGGCACCCTTTATTTGTCGCTCACTTAGGTATTACTTTTTATGTACTGTAAATCACTTATCATTTAATGATAAGCAGTTTTACTTCTCAGTGCTTTTTATCAACAACCCTGCAACAATAATTTGTGTTTATGATATATGATTCTCCTTTACAGCTTTATTATCAAGTTCTGAACTTTGGAATGATTGTGTCCTCAGCCCTGATGATATGGAAGGGATTGATGGTTGTTACTGGCAGCGAGAGCCCCATTGTGGTTGTTCTCAGGTACTCAGGAATTTGAATTATAAAAATCATACCGTCAGTCCTCGTTATCTCAAACCCAATTGGACCAAGAAAAAACTTTGAGATATCTGCATGATGATTCGAGATATTGAGGTTAAAATACATAAAGAAAAGATAGTTGGGACTTTTAACTCACTATTACATGTCCATGATATTTAAGATATTTATATCAAAGTTTAAGATACAAAGTTCCACTGTTGTTCATGTTGTTTACATGTATTTGTTTATTAAACTTTGTCAATATGTAGTACATTCATTACATTGCAAACTTTTGACATTTATTTGATTGAGAAGACGCAGTGACAAAAAAGTGGTGTATGATTTTAGGCAATACTAGAAATATCTTATTAAACACTTTGATTAAACCCTAGAAATGCGTGCAAAAGTGTAATTTTAAATGGGAAAAAGATGCATTCCTAAGGTTATAGCAGTAAACTGATTTAAAGATTCCAAACTAAAACAAGTGTAGGTTACAAAAATCTATTTCATATTAAGTTTATAATCTGCTTTATTCTCTTAATGTACACACTCAAATGTAAATAGTTTAGAGATCATTTGTAAGATTTTTTAAAATTTTAACTTCCTTTTAAGATATGTTTTCTATTCATCGAAAACAACAGCAGCATGGCGCCAGTATTTTCAGATAATGAGTAATGTGTTTTCTGTTCATTGAATTCAGTGGCAGCATGGAACCAGCATTTTTCCGTGGTGACCTACTTTTTCTGACCAATTACAGAGAAGAACCAATCAGAGTGGGAGAAATTGTCGTCTTCAAAATAGAGGGAAGAGATATTCCAATTGTCCACAGGGTGCTCAAAGTCCACGAAAAGTATGTGATTAAAAAAAGCAAAATAAGATATTACATGTTTTAGTGTCTTTGCTAGACAATATAAGAAATATTATGCATCCACTTCCAACAACTGTTATTTATACCTTTGGTGAAAAATAGTTTTGAAATGAACCAAACAAAGCATTTAATAAATGTTAGAGTATCTTTGTAAGAAATATTTTTCAGCTATTTTTATCAAGTGCTAGTTTTCAGAGTGTTATTGGTGTGTTACATGTAATCAGACTTGTCATATTTCATGAAGCACGCTAGCATTTCATGAAAAATATGCCTACATGCAAGTCTATTTGATTTACACACCAATAACATTCACAAACTGAAAAAACATTCCATATATTTACATTTTAAGGCTTTAAAACCAACAAAAAAACACTCTATATTTGAATTTTTGGCTGTGTATATCGATAAATATATTTTTTTTTACATTTTCGTCGCGCGGCATTGTTATGTCACAATAACACACATTTCCCCATGTATATTTTTATGTATGACTAAATACAATAATGACATAAATTTAAGGGGAAGAAGGACCTTGAGCTGAAAAAATACTTGTCATTCAATTTTTTTTATATTTTGTATATTTCTAATAAAGTATGTCCCACATATCTTGAAGCAGAAATATCATTAGGTTTCTGACCTTATTTTCGAGATATTGATTGACAAATACTATGTCCTACAATATCTAAGTGGAGTTTTAATTCTCCATGTTTCCGGGCTCATTACTCTGTCCACAATAGGATTTTTTAAACATTTATAAAGAATATGTAAGTGGACATGTATCTTTTGAAATATTTCAGAGTATGAATAGGGTTTAAAATTCGAAAAGCAAGTTTCTTCTATCACTCTGCATCTGGATAGGGAAAATTACGTACTTTTTAAGACAACTTAAACAACATAAAACGTAATTTACAAAAAATTCTATCATTCAATATTTTCAAGGTAAATTTAAAAATATTGAATGATAGAATTTTTTGTAAATTGCAAGTCCTTCGTATTATTGATTAACTGTAAAAATTTCGAATGGTGAAGCTGACCTCAATATTGCACAGGACATTGTGAAAGAAGTCATAAGCATGACAAAACCGTGTCATGTTTACATTTCTTGAGTACGGGAAAAACCAACTATGACGTCACGCGTAAGCTAAATAAGCGAAATAAGATATACCTACATAAGATTTCCGTCATCAGCAATGCAAAAATAATTTTTGTGTTCCCATTTCTCAAAATATTTCATCACATACTGATTATGACCTGTTTTTACATAATAATATTTCTTGGTATCCACTGATTTTTATCCCAACCCAATGCATACATAGACTACTACATGTATATCACCATTTGAAAATATGAAGATTAAATATTACCCTTCCCAAATAGCGATTTTCATTTTTCAGAGAGAATGGAAAAGTTAAATTCCTAACTAAGGGAGATAATAATTCAGTAGATGACAGAGGGTTATATGCCCCTGGACAGCTATGGTTGGAGAAAAAAGATGTTGTGGGTCGAGCGAGAGGGTAAGTTAAAAAAGATGGTAAAAAAAAAAAATTAATAAATAAATAAGTCAAGAGTATTAAAACATAATCCTCTTCACTCAGTAATGTACATGTAACACTTTTCTAACTTTGGAGATTTAAGGAATTTGTCTAAATTAATGATAAAAGATGATAAAAATTGTTATGCATATAGGGTTTAATTTTAATGTACTGCAACATAGGAAACTTTAATGCTACATGGGTGATTATGAAAGGATTTGAGTAAGGACCTTCAGTATTTAATACTGTCTTTATGTGAGTGCCAAAAGGACTAGCCTGATGACTATCACAAGTAAATATTCAGTCGGGCTAGTAAAACATATGTTGACACTAGACCCAAAGCCTAGGACTTGTAGCATTTTCAGTGACATGTATCTATTTTTTTAGTTCAACATTGTCAAAAAACATTTTTTGCCTGAAAAAATTATCTTCATGAATTTGCTGACTTTCATGTATATACCAGGTGATATCTTTTTTTTCTGTATCTTTGCCATGTTTAAAAAGCTAAAGAAGGTCAATATTGATATTTTTCTGGTGAATATCAAACCATATTAACCATCTTAACAGACTATATATTATTGTTTTATATTTACTGGGTCATTCCATTAAAAAAACAACAAAAAATTGACTTTCATTGACAAGAAAAATAACTCTTACATGCACATGAATCTTTTGATAATGACGTTAATGTTCATGTACTGAACGTTCAAAAAATATTTATAAGGAATTGTTTTTCATTACAGGTTCGTTCCTTATGTTGGTATTGTAACTATATTGATGAATGACTATCCAAAATTTAAGGTAAGTATATTTTAATGTGTCTGTGTTAAATGAAAAAAATACAGTAAAACACGCTTATAACAAAGTGCCAGGGACAGATGATTTTGATTCGTAATAAACATAATTTGTTATATCTGTTAGTATCACAATACAGTTTAAAATCACCGGGAATGAAAAATCACTTTGCTGTAAGTGTGAATTCATTATAAGTGTGTTCGCTATAAGTATGTTTTGCTGTAGTTGTAAAATTTATAAAAAATAATTCTTGAATATTAAAGTTTTTTTTACTACACAAACTCTTTTGTAATGCTTAATTTGTATTCTATTGAAGGATAGGAATAATTTCCTTATGAAAATTAAAGTCTTTTACAGTTTTTCACTGCACACTACAGAGTTTAATTCCATAGTGTTTAAGGACAGAGTGATATTTGTCCCTACATACAAAGTAAAATAAACAAACTGGAATACAGTCTCAGTTAGAAAATAAATCAAGCCTTCTTAGCATTTCATTACACCTAGATAAATTAATTATCAATGAACACTTTGTTTGCATGTACTTTCCCATAATGATTATACATTTTGAAAATAGAACATGTTGAGAGTGATTTGTTTTCAAACCAATACTCTGAAACCACTATTTTTCCATGGGGGTTTAATTTTTGTTGTTTTCAGGGTATGAAGAGAACCACAAATTTATGTCCACTACAAAATATACTAACTACTCAATAATTCTTTTTCCATGAAATCAAATCTCCACAAACCATATTTTTCCCCAACCATGAAAATTTGATACCTCAAAAATATTTGATTTTACAATACTTCCTTTAAAAGAAATTTTTTTTTCCTAGGAATAAATATAAACTCAATATTTACAGCTTATTATGAAATAACTTCCTCACCCCCCCCCCTTTCAAACAATTCATTCATTAGTGTTTAGAGGCTCCTTTATTATGGCCCCGCCATAAAATGGCTGTGGCATATAGTGTTACCCTGTTCCGTCATTCTGTCATTCCATCATCATTCACCTTCTGTTCTGCAACAGTTGCACACATTCAACTTAATTTTGTCAAATGGATACGTCTTAGGAATATGCAGGTCAAGTTTGAATATGGTCATGGTCCCGAAGATTTTTGACAGAGTTATCCCTCTTGAACTTAGGAAAAAATAAGAAATTTTCAGTTTCCGCTCTCTAACTTTTGTGGGGATGTATGTATAAGGTTGAAATTGCATATGCAGGTATTTTACCAGAAAATACAGGATAAGTTCAAATTTGGTCATGGATCCATGATTTTTGACAGAGTTATCCCTCTTGAACTTAGGAAAAAATAAGAAGAAATTTTCAGTTTCTGCTCTCTAACTTTTGTAGGGATGTATGTAAAAGGTTGAAATTGCATATGCAGGTATTTTACCAGAAAATATGGTCAAGTTCAAATACAAATTTAAAACTAAATATTGCATTTGAAATTTTTTTCTGCTTGTGGGGGCATTCGTGGCAATAATGACACATCTAGTTGATGGATAAGATTACTAATACATGTACTAACTCCAATTCTTTTACAATAGAAATGGAATGTTCCTGGCCTGTTTTTACTACAGAATTCTTTATTATCTCTCTATTCTTTATTATCTCTCTATTCTTCATTATATCTCTATTCTTTATTTCAGTATGCTATTTTGGCCTGTCTGGGACTCTTTGTGTTAATTCATCGAGAATAACAGATACCAGAAAAATAATAGGAAAACAAAGTGCTGGATAAAAGTGAGGGAAACTCAGAAGCGATGGGACAGTTGTTGGAGGATCTGTATTTATGGTGTAAGGGATGACATATTGTATTAAAAAAATGTGTTTTCTAATGTAAATTGTGCTTGATGTTTGTAATTGTGAAATGTGGTAAGAATTAATTAACATGTGTGAGAAAATCATGTGCATGGCTATGTTATGAGAACAATTGTATGGAAGAGTTGTAAATTTTTTTAAGATTTCATTTTCAAGATGTTTTCTACTCGTGTACTAGAAAATCATGTTACATTGTGATGGAGTGTATTTGGTGTATTATTTGAATAATTTTTTACAAATTATTCCAGTTCATACATGTAGTTATGAATTATGGATTTGTATGTTTCATGAGTTTGCATGGTTAAATTGTTGAGAATAATAAAATTCGAATCTCTATCATAGTTTCAAATTTAATTTATTTAAGTAAATGTGTTGTTTTGAAGTATCTTAGATACTTTTCTCAGATATGACTTACAAAGTGCAAAAGTGGACATTAAGATTAAAAATTCATTTTTTATCAACTTTTTTAGCTGCAAAATTTTGTATAAACTTAATCAGCCTGGGAAATACAGATGCACATTTTTCTTTCGAACAATAATTTATTTAAGACCTATATTTATAAAGCTAGATTTAATTTGCCAGTACTTTTTTGTACATTGTGAACGTGAATGGTTTACGCAAGATTTGTCAACTGTTTCTATGTCTCCCCTTTGAAGAATGGAGAGGTTGATTTACATGTATACTGAACTTTTGTTCTTCTCATAAAACCAAGTCTAACATGTCTAACATTTTAAGTCATGTAATGTATTGAGGGCGTATTATCATTCAATATTATACTTCCATGTATATTAGATGAATCTGATTCGTCGAGAAACATTTGTTAAAAAACACTATTACCCGCTGAATAATTAAGCCACGCCCTCCAGCATAGCAACAGTCAACACTGCTTGACGATGGGTGTTATTCCAAAAAATATTGACTGCGCAGAATTTATGCGCAAAAGGTTCACTGTAATATGTATTTGTATAAATCATTCAGTACAATATAATAAATATTGCATATCGTTGAGTGTAACATTGAAAATTTTCACCCCTCGGCTGTGTCTCGGTTGACAATGGTTTTTTGGGGTGAAAATTTTCAATGTTACACTCAACGACATGCAGTATTTATATAATGTTTCATGTACCATCATGACCCACAAATGACCTTACCCTTTGACCCCAAGAACTAGTTATGTCTCTACAGGCCTCATTTGACTTAGCTTTATGATCTTTGGCATAAAGTTATATATGTACCATCAGTGGCCAGTGTGTAATTAACCAAAAATGAACTTGCCATTTGACCTTGGAGTCAATTTATTGTTTTTGGCAAGTAATTGTGTTAAGTATTTTTGTATTAAACTTAAGTCCAGGATTATGAAGTTTGGCATGGAGGTATATCTTAAGAAGTTAATGTTACTTGACTCTCTTTTAACCTTGACCTTTAACATCAAAAATAGTTTCTATATTGGCAGCAAAACTGATGTATATTTCATCATTATCTTAATTTGGGATTATCATGTTTTGCTCATTATAAAAGAATGTGTTTTGTGCCATCACAACCTATGTTTGACCTTGACCTCTATTCATGTTTCACTTTGAAGGAGAGATATATGTTAAATAGTACTATTTATTGCAGTTGGAGGGCAAAATAATATTTGAATATTTACATGTAAGTATTTGACAATGTGCTGATGAATATGTTAATGTTCAGGTTTCCTTTGGATTGCTTTTCATCTAAGTCAGATATATGGTGCTCCTAAAAGAATGTGTTCTTTTGATCCATAAGAGACTCATCTATTTGTAAATTCTTAATGCAAATTCATGTCATGGAAGAATATTTGTCAGAAATAAATCTAGTGTTATAAAAAAAAAAGTTTTTTTTTATTTTCTCATCTTTAACCAAAGGGTCAAATGACCTTTTTAATTGTTACAATTTTTTTTATTTCTCTTTTGAAAATGACTTGAAAAACATGTATACTTGGAGGGGGATGGAAATTATAGTTTTATACTTGTAACCATATTCTGTATACGTATTTTAACTTACACATGTTATGACATGTATTTTGAAACTTGAAAATGTATAGGGTGTTAGTAACTGGTTGGTTGAGGGGAGGGGGGGGGGGCATAAAACATTGAAAGTAAGGAATTTGATGAAACTTTTAATAATAAATGATAAAATAAAATATATATATTTCCAATTATATATGCCAATTTATGCCTTACGGAATTTGATGACCCATAGAGCTGTTCTGCAGCTATAATACTTTTACATTTTTCTGATACATGGAAAACTAGGAATGGAGGAAATAGTTGATATAAAATTCCTGAAAATATTTCCAATTCATTACTCTTTGAGTGGTTGCTTCTTCCTCTACTATAAACAACATTTATAATGCCTGTACATTAATTATATATATGTTTTGCAGTACATTTATCGAAAAAATGGCCCCCAACATGTACTGATTTGGTTTCTGCTAATAAACACCATCCACTTTTCTCGTAGCCAAACGTTGTTCGCTTGTCTTTTGCACATACAGTGTACGTATATTAAATTCCAAATGTCAGAAAAGAAATGTTAGGAATTCAAAGATAATCACCAGATTTTGTGATGCATTATTTTCGCGATTGCGAGATATTTTATTTGTTTTTTATAAAGCGAGAAAAAGAAATCACTAATTTGGAATTTTGATGTATATAGTTTTTGATAAAAAGAATTATGCAAGAATGACATTTTCGCTATGAGACGGTACGTCTCGCGTAATTACGCGAAAACAAAGTTATCGTGAAGGAAAAAGGAATATTACAGTAAACAGAGGCCGGAATTTGCCTGTAACCACTTCGAAATAAACATGCATAAATGTTGATGTTTTCAGTTACTGGTATCTCATATGACGTCACCATGTTTTATGTATTTTTCTGGGGTTAATTAAAATTACCCCCCCCCCCCTTTTTCAATCCTTTCCTATTGGACCAGGAGATGAAATGATCATTGTCACCTGACTTATCCTTCTACGGAACTCTCGTTCACTAGCAAAGACGGACTGAATTTTATCAAACTGCATGTATTTCCTAGATTCAATCACAGGGGCATCTTATCATTATAATCTTATCATTATATATGTAATAGAGAACAGAGCGGATAAGATGCCCCTGTGTTTCAATTTCCTGATATTTTTCACACGAAGTGACAAGAGGGCATGATTAAATTGATTATACGAACCTCACTTCAAAGCAATACAGGTAACGAAGATCGATAGTCCTTGCTGAGGGTTTTTTAATGTCAAACTGTTTTACTCAAGTGACCAGTTGCTATGTCCGTTTCGTTCATAGCTGTCAAATGTTTGTAAACATTTCTACATTTCAGCCCCTTATCTGAAATGGCTGAATCAATATCAACCAGTTACGAAATGTTAACAGTAGCATTTACAATGTATACAGTATATATATATGGAGGGGAAAAAGATTCATGTTCCTCAACAACTAGCCCCCCCCCCCCCCCCCCCCGAGGAAATGGGAATGTGGGGCTGAGGTTTCCGGCAAAAAAAAAAAAAAACAACTCAAAAATCTTCGATTCTTTACTCAGGACATCTTGTAAACATGACTATAAGTTTCTGTACTAGATTATATGGTTAGAGGAAGAAGATATCCATACTTCCTTACTTCGTTACACAGTACTAGTACTGCGTAAGGAAGTATGAAAATTTTATACGAATTGCATGTGAACGCTTGTAAAAGTATTGTACGTGCCGTGTTGGGACACTTCCTAACCGCATTCTTCCACTTTATCGAAATACTGACTATCATATTAATCCCACCTGCTTGAGCGATGACGTACAGTGAATTTTCATCAAGTTTGGAAGTGTCTCGGTGTCTAGCTTTAATAAATCCATGGGGTTTAATTTTAGGATCTTGTTTTGTCTTCCAGTGTGTATCGTTTTGACAGGTAGGATTATATAAGGTTTAAGGGGGAGGGGTGATGCCGCTATGTATAGGCTTTTTAGTGATGTCAGTTTTTAAATGATATTACAATTTATTTATTTTTTGTCTGTTTTGCGTCATTTTATAAGAAAATGGAGCTTTTTTTTCAAATTTTGATTTTTATTCGGGCAATGGAATTCATGAGTAATCCTTTTTTTGTGCGTCAGTTACATTTTCCCCTCATTCTGTCCAAGTTTTTATCTACGGTGATTGAACTAGTGGATTTTTGTACATAAGTAAAATGCATAGAATTATTAATTCGTTTGCTTAAATATTGAGTATTTATAGAAAGACTTAGCTCATTTAGAGTGAAAAAAAAAATAGTCCATGTTTCAGAGTTCAGTTGGTACATAGTATTTCGACGGAATAGAATTGGCGATAAGACTTGATCTTCAAGTGCAGATTGTTTGTCGATATGTCAGTAGACTATAATACTATTAATTTTTGTTTCATAAGAATTACATTTTTAATATCACAATAGTTTATTAAGCGTGTAGACCTGCTAAGTTAGTACATGTATGTTTACATGTACGAGTAAACGTGATTTTTGTTCTTTCCCCCCCCCCTTTTTTTTTCTGTATGTTCCATTAAACATCGAGGTCTCCAAATTAAAAGGATTTTAACAATATTCAGTTCAATCACTCAAATGATATATTACATGAAGTATATAAACTGTGTTACTGTTCAGATATACCCACGTATTGCAAAAAGAAATCCAATATTATCTATAAAAGATAAATCTTAGCACAATAAGGGATTCAGGACAGGTTTGGGAGGGGTCCAGGGGGTCCGCTCCCTCCCTCTGCGGTCGAAAAACACAACTTATGAGAGATCAGCAAGAGTTCATTAAAAAAAAAAATACTGAACTAGGAAAGCTTAATACTGTTCATAGTCAGATCTTCCTTGGATGATGTATACACAAGCAAAGGGGATGTAAATGGAGTTGGGGTGGGTTGTGAAAACTGTCCCGGCGATCATGTGGTGGACCCCCCTTTCATATAGTGGACCCCCTCTCCTCCGCCCCCCCCCTTATTTTTTTCACAGATTACTTGATTCGCCCATTTAGATCTTGTCTGCAGTTTGAATTTTCAAATATCAAATTTGTTCAAAAAAGGCCAGAATCATTTCTTTCACGTGATCTACATGTACATGTATAGATTTGCAAATCGATGATGTAGACAAAATAGTTTAATTCATCCATGATTAGAAATTCTTAATTATAGCAGTACCTTTAACCATCAATATTTAACGAAATACAACGAATTTGAGCCAATGTTTGTTTATTTGTATATATATGGTACATGTACATAAAAAACAAGGACAGCATAAATAAACAGAGAAACGAAATAAATGTTTCGGCTTTCCAATATATGGTGTTAATGTCATTGTCTGTGTAGTTTTACAAGAGATAAAAAAAATCAAAGAATCTAAAAGTGCATAAATTGATTTTCAGATTTCGTTTATATTAATGACAGATAAACATTTTCAATGCATTTACATTGTAAATTCGAAATTCATAACAGGGGAAACGTATACCATTATAATAATATAATATAACAATGGTGATTTTTTTAAAGTAACAATTGGTGATTAATCAATAGATATGTAAACTGCTGATTAATGTATTGAATGCTATTGCAGATACGAAGTTTTTTGGGAGTTATTTTAAATCTAGATCTTTAGGTCGGTGGTCACCTAGGCTGCACTGAATAGCCTTATCTTATAGTACATATAGATTGACAATTAACAAAAAAAATAAATAAATAAATAAATAAATAAAATAAATTTTTAAAAGAGTTTCAGTCAAAATGTTTACATCAGTCTAAAATTTGTGATTTATTCGTGTTCATGAAATGGGCTTTTGCATATTATCTATTTTTAGCAGACCTTACCTGGATAATAAATAAATCACCCTGATATTTTGTTGTTCCGTGGATATAGTGGGGGATTTTCTACTAAAGTACGCATGTACGAATTATTGAGGATGCCTTGAAGTGCATTTGAGTAAAATCAAGTTTGGTTATGTACCTTGAATTGGTTCCTACGCTAATGTAGTTTGCCAATTCCGACTGGGTAAAAAAAAAGGCAGACATACACTGTACTTGTTTACAATCATTGTAATTATACTTATGTGAATGTTGAATTAATACATGTTTTTCACTGAAAAATAACTTTTGCAAAACTTTAGTAATTATTTAGATCCTGTAAAAGTCGTTTTCAGTTAAATTCATGTGCACTGTATGTTTATTGATATATTTTAAAATCATAAAATTTGAATAAATAGTTATTGTTCGAATATTTTAAAAAGATTTCATTCTTTATCCAAACGTGGTTAAAGTTACTAGCGACAACATTAATTGACTTTTGATATTTTTATTCCTACCCACAGCTAGTGTTACTAAACCACAGTTCTACGCCCTGGATAATCCTTGTTTGGAGAAGTTCCGGTTGTGTTCCACTTCCTGTTCCGTTTCTTACATGACCGGAAGTCTGAACTGCCAATTTTGTGTATGTGACGATCCTAGGTTCTCCAGTAAGTATTTCAATTGACTATTTATCATTTTTATAAAGAAAAATATTTTTATCTGATTTCTTTTTCATCGTATTTCATTATATATCAATGATGTAAAAATTTAATCACTTTTATTTCCACAAGGGAATACATTTATTGCATTTTATTTACATGGAAAATTTTTAGCTCGTCAGCCATATAACCAATAATAAATAACTTTCTTTAATTTGTCTCCAGAACTTTATTTTAGCTTTGATACGCCCTCTACAAATTGAGCAAAATTGCTCCCGCCAATGAAACATAGTTTTAAAAACGTGTATTGTCAGAATTTAACAGTGGCAGTCAAAGTTTTTGTGCAGTAGAAAATTGTTTTGGGTGTTGTTATTTTTCTAAAAATTACGGAAAATTCAGCATGAGTGCCAAAAATCCCGAAAAAGATTTTATTAAAATTATAAATTAGCAAATCATTAAAGCAAAAAAAAAAACAACAAACAAACAAACAAAAAAACAAAAACAAAACAAAAAACAAAACAAAACAAAAAACAAACAAACAAACAAACAAAACAAACAAACAAATAAATAGAACAAAAATAATAATGAAAATCTGGACAAAGATAGCTTCTTTAAAGTTTAAATATTATCTGTTATTCGCTAGATACACTTGTTATTTGATTTAAATCTTGAAGTTTATACACTGAGAATAAATAACATTCAGTAAGACTTTTTAGCAGTTTACCGATTGAATCGATCTGCCAAAATAAGATATTTTCAGAAATAACATTAATTGTAAATATATGCAATTTGTTTTTAAGTTTAAAGATATCGATTTGATAAATGTATCTCTTCCAAAGCAATGACAATTATATTCAAGAAAATAACTTAAACAATTTGGCAATGCACGTAAAATGAGGAAATGTTTCAATATAGTCTTGCGGTCATTTAACTTACAAACAAATGCGAAATGCATTAATGCGAAGTTTACATTTTGAAGGTCACATCCCCTGCACTCGTGGTCAAACAATATTACAACAATTTTTTGTTTACCATTGGGTGGTCCAACCTAAAGATAAACTCATTATTTCATTGGATGGAACAACCCAAAGATAAATCATTATTCCAATCCAAAAATAATTTCCCTGCCTTCAAAACAATTTTGTCTTGTTATCTAACGAGCTATTTATTATGAACGTAGAGTGAAAGTCCAGACAGTGTCGCAATATGCCAGTAGAAGTTTGAACAACTTAGTTTGGCATATTTTGAAAATTTCTGCACCTTCTTCTGCTATTAAGAGAACATAATGGATAGCGTAATTCAAGGATTGTCTGTGTTGCTATTTTTAGTCGCTTGGCCGGAGTCTACTACTGCTCTACCCGCGACGACAACGACTCCCAGGCCTACGCTCCCAGAAGGTCAATGGATGGCCAATAACATTATTTACACTAGACTTAAACATCCATGTTCTGAGTTTTATGCGGCCTGTCCACTCTTGTGCAAGAGAGAGAATATAACATTCACCAATGGAACCACATGTGAGACGTGCACGTGTGACAGGGATTTTTTTAGTGAGTAATTTTTAAGTTTTTCCTCAGTCAACAAATGCATCCATTTAATTAAACTCTAATTGTTTTTATGATTTAAAAATATATGTTGTTATTATTTATTTGCACAGAAGTGTTTTAAAAGATTTCAACGAAAAATCATAAGTTTTGAAAAGGCTAGATTTTGAAACCATATTTTTGACATTTGATACTACGTTATATTTTATCTAGATTTCTAAAGAATTCATTTATAAGGAAATTAAAATTAACACTGCTCGCTATATTTCGGGTTGTTTTTGTTGTTTTGAATGTTGACCTTGATAAATAAGCTCAAGGTTACTGTCCATATTCAAAGACCGTGTGCGCTATTTTACCACACTGGCCTTATTCCTCTTTTTAAGGACCCTCTACACTAATGAAAAAATAGACTGAGAAAATTATATCGTACAAAGTTGAAACTATTAACTATTGACTATTGACTTGAGGTATTATATTTTCAACAAAGGGTACATGTCATTTACACCCCCCCCCCCCGGAAAATGTTCAAAGAGAACAAAGTATTGAAGGAGAGAAGAAATTACCGCAACTTACTTAATATTAAGATTTCAGTGTGTTCAACATTAAATCAAAATGCAAATCTCTCTGCTTGCATAAAGTATGAAATTTTAACTCTTCATTGTGAAGTGTATAGGGGATCCTTAATGATCATTAAATTTAATTCCCTTCCTTCATGAAGTTTTCAATATTCATCTACTCGATTTCCTAAAAACCGTCAACAAATTAGGTTTAACAATATAACATTGCAATTAAAATAAGACATTAGTGTGCATATACCCATGACACACAAAACAAAACAAAAAAAAGTGTTTTTTTTTTTAAAATATATAATGATTGAATCAAGGTTGAAACGTGAAAAAAATGAAAAGGGGGGTTATTTCTTATCTGTTTAAAAGACATTTTGTTACAGAAAAGACAAATGAAACACTTTTGTTCGGAATATGAAAAAATAGATCTCCGAATATTCTTAAAAGGTTGGCAGTTTGGTTTGTAGAATAATATAGCGGTTCCTTAGCAAAGTTTTTCTGCAAGTATGAATTATTTTATCATACTGGATTCAGATGAATATTTATAAGAAATAACAATATAAAAGTGACACGGAGTTGTTCCATTAGAAATAGGTATAATAATTTTTTTTCCCTTTCGAAATTCTATGTATATGCATATCAGTATAATCTTTATTTGATTAATTCATGAGATGCTTCATTTATTTTTTTTTTAACATACAGACATTCTAGGAAGACGAGAGTATCCAGAAAAGTTCTCCTTGCATAAGAGACATGCAAGTAAGTTCATTGACTTTTATATGTACTAGTCTATTATAGAAGTTGTATGATTACAGTGGTACAGTGCCTATATTTGTTATAACACTGAGTATATTATTCTTATAAACATTAACATACCTTTATTTCGGTTCAGTCTTTCCCCTTTTAAAAAGAAAATTTTTCTATGAATTTTCTCTCTAGAACTTTTTTTATTTGTTACTAATTCACACTTGAAATATGTCATAATTAACTTTAAACTGAAATGTTCCAGTATGCATGAAAATAATTATGTTCCCGAAATTTGCATTGTCTCAGTGAAAGAGCAAAAATAAATGCAGTGGCTTGAAGTGAAATGATTTTACAACACAGCATTGGGTTGGATGTTTTTTCCCCCCAAAAATGAGAGTTGATACATTTTTTTTTTCAGAAAAACTAAAAAATATTTTGATACGCAAGAGCATATTCTAGATACTAGCAATTTCTGTAAAACGAGGCAGACTACTGACAAATAAGTTGATGATACAATGACATCAACAAAGTCAACATTTCCAAATTCTATTGTCAGTACATTGACGTACGCACATACTGTCTATCTTTAGGTCGAATGCTGACTGACGTCTTTCATACAAATTGTTAGGCCTTTATATCTTTACTGAATTGACTACATATTTCTCCGCATAACCGATCATAACAAAGGGAACACGGGGGGGGGGGGGGGGGGGGGCGTCGTATGCTTGTTGTATGTTCACTCTTCATTGCACCTGATCTTACCTTTGTTTTCAGAGGTCGGTGTTCGCTCTGCTCACAGTTTTTAATGTTTAATTAGACTTTTGAACATGAATATCCTCTGTTATCTTAACATTTCATTTGTATTTCCAGTAAGACACAAGGATTATAATAAAATGGGACATGTTCCGAGACCCTGTTTTCACTTTGGGTGCCCCATCTTCCGGTGCCCCGAGGGTTTACGATTCGCCATATCTCCCAGTGGATGCGAAGAGTGCAGATGTATTTCGATAGGTATTATTAAGATTAATATGCTATTAATCGCTTTTACTTTGAATTAGAACATGCATGTAAATAAATAAAAATCCGTTCAATTAACACACGCTTAAGATTCAAGTGAGGTTTTTTTCACTATAGATGTACATGTATATACCATAAATGATTGTCTTTTGTCATGTGAAATAATGTATCATTTACTTTCATTTATCGACACTTTGCTCTAAAGACCCTTTAACAACGACACCCGCTCAGATTTCAACAACAGCGGCGGGTGAGTAGATAATAAAAATTCTACAAAGTATGGAACTATAAATGCCTGCTGAATGGAGAAATATTTTTGTTTTTTGTTTTGTCTTTTGTTTGTTTTCTTTTGAATATGTGCCTTTTTGAGCTTTATTCTTCTTTGTTTGGTTATTTGTTTCTTTGTTTCGTTTTCTTTTTGCTTTGTCGTCTTTGTTATTTTTATTTTTATTATTATTTTTTTTTTTTTTGCATTAGTTGTATTTATTTATTTTTTGAATTTTTTATTTATTTATTTATTATTTGTTTGTTTGGGGGGTTGAGTGGGTGTTTTGTTGCTTAACATTCTTATAAGTAGTTTAACTTTATTTAAAGGAATGCAACTATCATCCTCCCCCAAATCTTTATTTTTGGGGATAAGGGGTATGAATAACTCTTCCTAATTGAATGAAAATGTTTACGATACGGGACAAATTTAAGACGAATCATTATTGAAGATGAAAATTTATAGCAATATATCATCCTCTCATCAAACGGCCAATCGTTCTAATCTCTCATTAAAAGATAAATCCTCCTTATAATTTTCAAAACACAATTTTATTTTACATTTGTTGTGTATTCATGTAAAGATTTTCTGTTGACATTGCAAAATTATTGACAAGTCGTAGTTCTTAATATACCACCATGTATTTCATAACACTCATTTTTATCAATTTGCAGGAAACGAGAATTTTATCCAGATGTATTGCCGGAAGGAACCGTCTGACTGCCCTCCCGGATGTTCTGTAGTGGACTTCCGGGTCACAGATTGGCACTGTTACCATTGTCATTGTCCGGGTGAGAATCAAATAGAGAACAAAGAGACATTAAAGAAAAGAAATATTAAAATATTGTGGTACGAAGAAAATTATTTGGCGGCCGCCAGATCTATTTATCTGGTGGCCGCCAGAAAATTAGATGGCGGCCGCCAGAAAATTATTTGGCGGCCGACAGAAACTTATCTGGCGGCCGCCAGATAAAATATTTTTTCTACTTGGCACCAACCGGCTTCCGTAAATTACAGATGGTGGAGATAACTCTTGCAGTTCCAAGTAAACGTTTAACGTGACGTGAAGTTTAACATAAATATATTGCGTCAAAATTATGAAGGATGCGATCCAAATATATTTTTATTTTTTCTATTGCAAGTGTATTAAAAAAAAATCCCCAGTGCGCTATACAGTGGAAACGGTCTAATCCGACACCTGTGCAATCCCTTTCACTTTGAATTCTGACCTTTATTAGTCCCCTACCGGTGAAACCGGAGGGGACTATAGGTTTCCTCGGAGTCTGTCCGTCCGTCTGTCTGTCTGTCTGTCTGTCTGTCCGTCGGTCCGTCTGTCCCTCTGTCTGTCTGTCAGTCTGTCCCACTTGGTTTTCCGCACTTTTTTTCTTAACGCTTACAGATATTGAGCTGATTTTTGGTATGTGAGTGTATATTGATAAGTTACAGATCAAGTTTGAATTTCGTTCCGCTTCATTGATTTTTGAGGGAATTACGGCCCTTTTAATTTTCAAGGGTTTTCCGCACCTTTTGTCTAAACGCTTGCAGATATTGAGTTGATTTTTGGTATGTAAGTGTATCTTGATGAGTTACAAATTAAGTTTATGCTACGTTCCGCTTCAATGATTTTTTTGACGGAATTACAACATTTTAAATTTTGATGGGAACCAGATTACACTTACCGGTAGGGGACTAGTATTGCTAATGCAATACTCTCAGAATGCTTGTTTTCATTAACATTTTTCTATTTTCCAAGTTTGACACTGTGCAATCCGACACCGTGTCTATTCCGACACAATTTTTTTTTCTCCCAATGTATGTCGGATTAGACAGGTTTCATTGTATTAAGATTTGAAGAGGAGAATAGCGTTAAACTTTGAGTGACTTACTTAATATGTACGTTTACAGCATTCTTTTAATCGGTGCTTAAATACTTACTGAATTTGAAACACTTATTATGTTTAGCACAATTAGTACAATACATACACTGAATATTTTCAGTGTATCTTTTCAAGATAAAACGATGTTTTTCATTGGTAGGGTAAATGTATGGAATCACCTTTACACGTTTTCATGTTTAACGGGCACCAGAATTTCCATTTTATTTATTTATTTATTTTTTATTTATTTATTTATTCATTTATTTATTTATTTTTTGTAATGCACTAAATAATTTTTATTTTGTTGTTGTATATCTTTTTGTGTGTGTGTTTGTTCGTTGTTTATTGGTTTTCCCTTTTTTTTCATAGTTTTTTTTGTTTGCCAATAAATAAGCTGTGTGTGTGGAGGGTGGGGGGTTATAGATGTTATTTATTTAATCTAATTATTATTCTCTTTTTTATTGATTTCTTCTTTTCCTTTTATTCTTTTTACAAATATGACCAAATACTGACCAAATATTTTTTTTCATATTTTAGAAAACAGTTACGTAGCACTACAAAAACCATGTGATCAGCAGAATTTTCTCTGTTCTACCCAATGTACCGTCCGCCATCTTGTCAACTCTAGAAATCAGACGGACTCGTGCGAGTTCTGTGACTGTACAGCTTCTGGTACGTCTTTGGAAACACTCCTCGTTTCTCAGTTTTAAATCAATTGTGAAAATCTTTTTTTTTCTACTAAAAAGTTCTTTGTCCAGTGGGTTTTCTATCTTGTCACTAAATTTCCTTACCATCTATGAAACACGATTACGTAAAAATAACGTTGTGAATTCTTATATTTCAGCCCGATTTGGCAGAAAACATAAAATATCCAGACGAGACACTACCTGTCCCTACCATTGTCCTCATTACTGTCATTATAGCCGGCAAAAGTCTTCTGGAACGTTTGGCCAACCTTTTGGACGCCGCAAAAGACAAAGTTTGGGATGCTACGGAGATTGCAGTCAATGCCCTTATAGTGAGAAAACTTTATTAGTTATTATTTTGTGTTAAATAAATAACATTTTGTACCTCTAATCATCTGATTTAGTTCTCGTACATGTAGAACTTTAAATTTTTGAGTTAGATTTATTTCTCTTGCTATTATTTTATGTGTTATTTTCATATTTTGAATCCGATGTTATAATTTTTCATTTTAATTAGAATTACAGAGAAAAATATTTAAAATAAATGTAGAAGAAGCAGAGAGAAATTTGTCAACTTCCCTTATTTGTGAAGAAATATACTATTATCACCTGCAAACGGGGTTTATTTCTCCCAGTTGATTCGATAAAAAAGAGCCTGTTCTACTTAGGAACAATTACTAAAACGAGACAGGCTACTAACGAATAAGTTGCTGTTATAAGGATATCAACAATTTCATTTAAAATCATTCAAATTCTATGGTCGATTTAATGACTGTTTGCAAATATAATTTAGCGTTACTTAGGTCGAATGTTGACTGACGTTTTTTATACAAATTGTTCGGCCATTATTTTACTGAATTGTCTACAGATTTTAGGTTTACACGATCATGACAAGAGGCTCAAGACGGGTGGGACCAATCGACAGGGATTGTTAAATCCTGCATGACACCTTATTCCACCTCAAGTGTTTTCTCTGCTCACTATATATTGTTAAATAGGACTTTTAAACATGCTTACTGTTCATTATCGTCACACTTCATCCAAAGTCTTTGTCACTGATTTAAGTGGTATTTTATTATTTTATCGTGATTTCGTTTGCTTAAATGGTAAAAACAGTGCGACATTAAACTCCACATACGAGTCTAAAAATTGATGCAAAATTGGTGTAAATCGTGAATTCAGTGTAAGTGTAATAAGATGGTAACTTAACAACCAAGCTTTATGATAAACCTGATGACTTCAACTTTTCAATTGTCAACTTCCCTTATTTAAGTCAAATGCTGACTGGCGTTTTTCATACTAATTGTTAGGCCATTATTTACACACTGAGTGAATTGGCTACGGATTTTTCCGTTTTCCTCAAACATAACAAGGAGCACACGGTGGGTGTGACCGCTCGGAAGGGGGATGCTCACTCCTCCATGGCACCTGATCCCAACTCTGATGTTTTGGAGGTCCGTGTTTTCTCTTCTCCTGATTTGTATTGTTTGAATGGACTTTTGAGCTTGAATAATGTTCGTTATATATGATATCTCCATATTTCATGTATATTATTGATTGTATAAACCTGTCTTCCAAGAGATAGGTCGACTCGAAATAATGAAAATTACGAAAAAATCAATTTCCAAACTTCTAAGATTACATTTTTCCAATCAAAGAAAAAAGGCCTAAGTGACGTATGATCTAGGAGACGATTCCGTAGCCCTCAAATTCTCTTACGTCATTCTTAAATTATGTTTTAACCATATAAGTTTGAAAGGAGATATCTTGACAAAGATTAAGTTTATAACATTTTTATTATAATATTGTAACTTGCACATGTTGCCAACAGATAATCCACCATTGGATGGAAGTTTACACACAACTGTTACAACAACTCCTTCGAAAATGCGTGAGTACATTTTTTAGCAAAAACATTCGTTTGAATCAAATACCCATAAATAAATAATGTGTTCATAAGAAAATAAGTTAATAAGTTAAAAATATTTACTGGGTGGAAAAATTACGAAGTGTTGTCGGCTGATAGGTACGAAATGGCTTTTATCCTTAATTAACTACAACACGAAATACCAGTTCATATTCTGCCACTTATTTCAATGACCTCGCCAACCCCACCCATCCATACCCAAAATTTAGTTTATCACTGCATTTATTCAATTCATTTATTAATATATATATTTTTTATTTGTGGATGATATCAACTGTTGCATACAGAAAAACTTAATTCGACATGGTTATGCTCGGATCCAGGATTTTTTTCCAGCTGAGGGGAGGGGGTGGGGGGTGGGGTGGGGGGGGGGTCCATCCCAGTCAAAAAAAAAATCTAACCCAAAAATTTCTTGACAAGCAAAAAAAAGGGGGAAATTCATTTTCCAAACGTGAAAAACACCTAATTAGTGGTGGTGATGGTGGGGTCAACGTTTTATAGAGTGGGTCCAAAGTCTTTTTTTTTTTTTTGCTTCAGTGTATACTTTTATAACTCTGCAAATTCCGGGGGGGGGGGATCCTGAACCCCCCACCCGACCCCCCCCCCCTCTAGATCCGCGCATGTGCTTTATTCAATACTTCCGGTAGAATTATACCATTGATATTGACATCTTGGAAGAATGATACGTAAACATATAAAATAGAAAAAAACAAAACAAATGAGGCCTGCAAATAAAGTTATCAAATGATAGAAACTGGGTAGAAAATGGTCAGTGAGATAAATAGAACGAATAATCCATATTAAAGTTTGTTTAGTTTTATCCAACTCTTTGATACGCATGGAATACATATGCTCGACTTACTTCACAAACTACTTCAAGTGGTTGAATAAAGCTAATATAAAACGTTATATACCTATACAGATATATCCTATATATATGAACATTTATTTCAGATATTCCAAAAATACATTTTGTGAGAAACTGCTTCCAGGAAAAATCTGAATTTGCCACTAAGAACTGTGTGAGAACTTCTGAGTTTTCTATATCTGGCAGACCGTGTCATGTTTGTCTGTTGTACAATACAGACGGACAATTAGGTAACATTCTCTTTATTTCCTATTTCAAGATGTATGGGGGGTTATTATTTTTTTTTTTTTTTGTAGTTATGAACTGATAACCAGCCTGAGACCACGTGACCCCGTCTTGGCCCCTCTTTATTTTCCTCATTGAGAAGCATCAAATTTGAATATTAGCCACGCCTTTTAGCATAAAATACACGGTTTGATAATTTACATTTCCAAATATATGTAATTAAGAACTATTCTCTGTAAACACTTAAACTTTGCCCATTATTACAGCTCGACACCAAAAAATATATCAAATAATTTTTTTTGTTATGTGTCTTGGTTGCCATTGTAACAGAAGGAGAAGTTTGAAAAATTGACATTATCAGCTACTTTGAATCTTTATTGCGCCTTAACAAAGATTTAGAAAATCAAACAAACCATTCTTACGAAAACATGACACCTTATTGCGATTTATGCCATAAAGAAAGTATTTAGAATATATCTCAAAATAAGTGGTAACCATGGGTACATTTAGAATACATTTTTAGTGCCGGAAAATGCTAAATATTCATTAATGATAGGTGTTAGGTGTTATACATGATCAAACTAAATCAACAACACAAGAAAAATAATTTACCTTAAGTAATTAGGTATTGGCAATATTATTCTAAAAATAACTTTCATGGTTGCCATGGTAACACTCTGTAGCCACACAAAATTAAATATGTTGCTATGTTTCGGTTAATCTGGTATCTTGAGAAAAAAAAACATGAAAATTAAGACTGGCAAATATATACGAGGGTCGTTCAAAAATTAACCGGACTTGTTGCACAGAAAAAAAATATAAGACGACATAATCGGGCAAAAAGTCACACATAATATAAAAGAATCTTTACTTATATGGTCATCAAACTTCCATTTCAAAATGCTGTAAATTGATATAAATTTTGGGTGATTTAACAGGACATATCATGCAGTCATGGTGCAGTAAAAATCTTCGATGTCACGGGTATTTTTTTTTTAAAATGTGAGCTTTCATTTTCTCAACATTTTCCCTCAGAGTTCGATCCTGGACAGTTTGGGTTACCTTATCCACTCGGCATAAACATCCATATATCATTTCTTGTCAAGCTTAAAATCTATAAAACTACTATAGCATATAATTCTTTTTTTGTTTTAAACCCTAAAACTGCCGATATTTCTGAAATATAGTGTGACGTTGGTCACTCTCAATCACGTTCCTAACAGTCCAGATAAAGTTTTCGTCGATGATCATCTTCCCGTCCCCTCCTGAATTGCCTTTTACTGAGGTCTAACCGTCTAAAATTCCACTTTGCTATTTGAAGACAAACGTCGAGAATACACGGGGTTTACTCAACTTTAATCAAGTATATTTTGGGTCTGTTGGCGTTTTCTCGAGCATTACACATAATTTGATAAAAGTGCGATGCTCCGTCAATTCACGAGACGTCATTTTTGCAGCTGTTTCCACAGGAATCGCATCGGAGAAAATCGCTATATTTCTGTTAGTACTTCAAATATTACGTCAGAAATTTAAAAACATAATAATAGGACAATAAAAAGATACCTTTGAGAAAATTGTCGGAAAAAAATCGTGAATTATAGAAAATAAATGAGTAAAAATTTCGGATTCCGCACGTTTGTTTTTCGAATTTTTTGTCGTGCTCCGTACGGCACCATCAGCGATATCAAAAAAAGCAATAATTTTAGGAGAAATTAATTAAAATCCAACAATTTTGCCAAAAAACTGATTGTAATCCTTAGGAAATATGTTTCTGTGAAATTACATTTAACTATTTGACGTCCGTAAGAGTACATAATAACTGAGTCCGCGTAAGTTTTGAATGGCCCTCGTACTGACCTTGTAACAGAGATAGCATAATTAAAAAATTAATTGTTACATTGCAGTGTTACCATGGAAACAACGTGTTTGATGTGATATTTTTGCTGTATTAGGGATTTAGTTATCTCTTAATCAAGAAACAGATTAATCTGACTCGCTTTGAATAGTACACTTATCTGACAGAACTAAAGTTGAATCTCGTTGATAAAGTTTGATAAAGAAAAATATATATGATCATGATGATGATAATATTATGGACAGTATTAGACCTTTGACTATTTTTGTCTTCTTTTTCACATATTTTTAATCCGTTCTCAGTACAAAAAAAAACAGTCTGTAAACGTCTTTTGATTGTAATTGGAGTGTTGTATCATTTCAGTGTACCATTTATTCAGTATAAGGATAAAAAAATTAAAAGAGAAAATATTTTTTCTCCATATCGTTTCACTCAAAGGAAAAATGGAGAAAGTAAAAACAGTATCTGTTTGGTCAAAAGGAGATTAAAAGTATAATTTAATAATTTTGTAAAATTTAATTTAATAAAAGCAAATTAAATGATAACATATCATTGATTAAAAAAAAGAGTCATTAGCACTTTATATATATTTAATGTATAACTGATCATTTCCTACTTTTGCTGTTATACACAGAAATAGATTCTGTCTTGTGTTTCAGTGTATTTAGAGCACTCGAGACATGGTAAGTATAAAATAATACTTATATCACAAGATTTAAAAAAAAAAGAAATATTTTTTATATTCCAATAGTTTTATTTTTGTAAACAACCTATTGAGAGGTTGAATGATTTTGTTGAATTTTTGCGAAGGATTTTATGTCAATAGTGAGTTACATTTATTATTACATATATTATTTTCAATTTTAGTGACAGCTGATAATTGTTTTACAAGCAATTACCAGGAAGTACTGGAACACATCTGTGTGCGTGTCTCGGAAGTACACACTAGCAATGACGTCTGTCTCATATGTCATTACAAAACTCACGAAAACGAAAGTAAGAATCTAAATTTTTGGTAGATCTAGCCAACAACAAAGTTTGAAAAGCTTAAGGGTTACGTTTTCGCTAACGTTTTCGTCTGTTTACTTGTAGTGAAAGAGTTATCTCTTGAAGGAATCTATCCAACAATAAAAAATGATTTGGTTGAAGTACTCCGACCGATCCGTGAAAAATTACCCCACCTGATATTTTTTAATTTCACATTTTTGGGGTTCCTTTTTCCCCAAGGAGATACAGATTGCCTTCATCTTCTTTAAAAGTTATGTTTATCAAATCTCAAAGATGTTTTTATTCCCCTACCGGTGAAACCGGAGGGGACTATAGGTTTCCTCTGAGTCTGTCCGTCCGTCTGTCTGTCTGTCTGTCTGTCTGTCTGTCCCACTTGGTTTTCCGCACTTTTTTCCTAAACGCTTGCAGATATTGAGCTGATTTTTGGTATGTAAGTGTATCTTGATGAGTTACAGATCAAGTTTGCATTTCGTTCCGCTTCATTGATTTTTGACGGAATTACGGCCTTTTCAATTTTTAGGGGTTTTCCGCAATTTTCTTCTAAACGCTTGTAGATATTGAGCTGATTTTTAGTATGTGGCTTTACCTTGATTAGTTATAGATCAAGTTTGCATTTCGTCCCGCTTCATTAATTTTTGACGGAATTATGGCATTTTCAATTCTTAACGGGAACGGAACTAGATTACACTTGCCGGTAGGGGACTAGTATTGCTAATGCAATACTCTCAGAATGCTTGTTAGTCCCCTACCGGTGAAACCGGAGGGGACTATAGGTTTCCTCGGAGTCTGTCCGTCCGTCTGTCCGTCCGTCTGTCTGTCTGTCTGTCCCTCTGTCTGTCTGTCTGTCTGTCCCTCTGTCTGTCTGTCAGTCTGTCCCATTTGGTTTTCCGCACTTTTTTCTTAAACGCTTGCAGATATTGAGCTGATTTTTGGTACGTGAGTGTATCTTGATGAGTTACAGATCAAGTTTGCATTTCGTTCCGCTTCATTGACTTTTGCCGGAATTACGGCCTTTTTAATTTTTAAGGGTTTTCCGCAATTTTCTTCTAAACGCTTGTAGATATTGAGCTATTTTTAGTATGTTGCTTTACCTTGATTAGTTATAGATCAAGTTTGCATTTCGTCCCGCTTCATTAATTTTTGACGGAATTATGGCATTTTCAATTCTTAACGGGAACCAGATTACACTTGCCGGTAGGGGACTAGTATTGCTAATGCAATACTCTCAGAATGCTTGTTTATATTGAAAGCTTTAACAGCAAAGAATATAAAATCTGTCTAGCCGTCCCCTGTAAACATTGTAACGAAAACCTCAATATATTTCTAAGTCTATGATTTTAATGACAATATTAATTTCAGTCTCTTACATATTAAAAAAAAAACTACCTACTTACCTTAAAAAAATGTGGGTCGGAGTACATCGAACATTTTTGTTTAATGATGACCTTACAGGAAGAAATGTTGATTAATTAATTACAATGAAATTACATGTTGAGAGAAGAGACACATTGATTAGTTGTATGTTAGACAAGGTACATGTAAATGATGCGGAATTTGTTTTGGAATACTAGTATGAAGACTGGATTACTCCATAACATGAATTATTCTACTTCATTCAAACACCTTCATAATGACTAACTGTATAATAAAAACAAAAACAACAACAACAACAACAAAGCGAAACAAAACACAACAAAAAAAATAAGTGCATAACAGAAGGCTATGAAATATATTTTTTAATCAAATTGACATCTCTTTAAAGAGAACAGATGATTGTAGTTGTCACGAAAGAAAGGATTGAACTTATCTACTCTGTCGACTCCGACACTGTTCATAATACAGTTAAATGTCATTTACAGTTGTAAATGCGCAGTTTTACAATATTTATTTCGTAACTAAATTACCGTATTGTTGATGATGCGTTAATGACTCTTTTATCATGATCTTTGAACACTTTATTTCAAATCAGACACGTATTTCTTACTTGCATTATATAACAGCCTAGAGTGATATTTCATTCCACCATGACTTTTTATTTTCTACCGACATTTTTAATATGACAGAAACTGATTAATCTGCCGTAATAAAACAAAAAAAGTATGTATATACATTCGCCAATCTGTTAAAACTCGAAATTCTGCAAAAATTCCCGAATTTGGAAACTGTAGGGCCGGCAGAAACATTAATTTTACCATCGGCAAAAAGGAATGTCTTGTTGGATATGTTTTCTTAAAAGATTTGCTATTCTCAATTTCAAACAAATTTCATTTTGACCGTGGAAAGTCTGCCACTTGATAAAATAGGGATGTTTGTATTGACTGATGTTAAAATTAAAGTAGTCCTTGGAATCAGAAGCCATTTCCGACTTCATTTTCAAACCAACTCCTGGTAATAACGAGGGTGGGGGAATAAAGTTTTATTTTGCATCTTGCATTAGTACTTGCTGTACAGTATACAACTATGTTCACAATACTATTCTTGATTTTCTATTGTAGTAATTATTTTACCGCGATTTAAACTACAAACAGTACTACAACAAAACCATATATCAATTCAACAAACTGGGACACTTAATACTCACAAAGCTACAACATCTAAGCCGTATATGGAAACATCGACAAGGTCTATTCCAGACATGACAACAAAATCTCTTACAACAAATGAACGTACAACACATAAAACAACAACTGGATCAATAATACAGAAACCTACAACAGTTGTTACAACTCGCAGCAACACACCAGGAACAACAGCAACAACAACTAGTTCAAGCACAATAACAACATCCACAACCTCAACGCCTAGCACAACAACAACAGTAAGGAGTACGACGGTAGCGCCACCTATGTGTCATACTTGTAGTAACGTGACGTGTTCGTCGGCAGATCTACAGGAGTGTAATACTGGATCAGAATATTGCATGAATACGTTGAAACAACACAGTGACGGAAGCAGAACAATTACTCGCGGGTAATATATTTATCATTTTGTACATGAGACGACGTAAATACAAAACAGATAATGATAATATAACTGCACTGGGAAGCAAATTTTTGCATTGGAACATTTTAGATTGTTTCAGCTACAAAGAATCTGTTCTTTTTAAGTTACAACAAGATGATATATTAAATATACATGACGTACGAAGTTGATCCAAAAGTAACTGCTATAAAAATTTTAATAATCGAAAGTTTTCATCAAAACTTTATACACTAATATCTCTGTACATTTTGACCTTTGCCCTAAAATTTCATTTAGATATATGCAATACCTTTTAAAAAAATATCAAAGAAAAACACAACATTGGGTCTCGTCCATCGCCGCACGGCAAGAATTTATCGACGTCGTTATATGATGTTTCGCTTCGACCCTCATTTTACATCTGATAATACATAAAATTTACGCAAAAATGAATGAATTTAGAAATAAACTTTGGACAAAATTAAAATAATTTAGTAATACAACTCAAAAGAACTGAAAATGGCGAAAAATAACGTCGACGTCATAACGACGTCAGTAGCATTCTTGACATGCGACGATAGACAAAACGTAACGTTGTTTTTATCTTGATATTTTAAAAAAGTATTTTATTCAATCGAAAGGAATTTTCAGGCAAAAATCAAAATAGGTAGCGGTATTGGTTATGTCAAATTTTGTTGATAACATTTGATTATTAAAGATTTTTCTATCAGTTGAGACAATTACTTTTGGATCAACCCTCGTAAATATACATGTACATGTGGAGCAGCTCATGTTAAACATTTCTTTTTTTTAACAAAATGAATCACTTGAAATCGTCTGATTGTTTGTTTTAAACTAGTTTTAAATTGAAGAGCCTTTTTTATACAGTTGTGTTTCGGAGAATGAGTGCTACAACAAATGGTGGATTGTCTCCGCTGATAACCCGTCCTGTCTATCAAAGGTGAACACGCCCACTGGAAGGCCAGGTGCACCAATCGAATGCAACTTCTGTTGTAAGGGGGCGGGGTGTAATCAGTTGATGAGAATTCCCGACAGCTTGTTGTACACTGGGGAAGACCATCCTTCTAATGCAATGGGCGGGATTATTCAAATTGGTTAAAAACAAATGCCATTATCTATTAAGATAATGATGGTTTGATAAATGGCAATTCTTTTTCAAGTTTATAATGAACTTGATTTCTTATTACATGAAAAAAATGTTCTGCAATCCTTCTTTAAATTATTTTTGAAAATTACAGGTATGTACATGTATGGACAATATTAAGACTAGGAAAGTGTTTATAGTATCTTTAAAAGGAATGTAATCATCATTTATCATTGTAAATTTTATAGCCATTACGACAATGAACATCTGACCGAAGTATTCTGTCAAATGATGTTCAAATAAAACAAAATAACCAAACATCTTATAGTATCACTTTTTATTTCATATTATACAAATTTACAGTTGCTAACGTGGTTTGATATTGTCAATTATGACCAAGGAAAATCATAGATATATATTGTGAAGACTATGAAATAAATATTGATTTCAACAGGTCTGCATACCTTTAGGTAGCGGATAGGCTCAGCTCAGTTTTGTATAAAACATACACTTTTTCATCTTCTATCTTGACCTCATGCACTTCTTGCTGTCAACACAATAAACAGCTAATTAAAAGGTTATTATAACAACTTCTTTAAAATTAAATGTTAAGGGTCCATGAACTTTTGAATATTTTTGATATTCAAACATTACAAAAGTTTACGCTGTTTTTATTAATTATTTCAAAGTATTAATTAATCTCCGTTTTTGTGGTAATTTATTTTTTAAAATGATTTTTGGAGAAGGGCCACGAAAAAAGAAAGGAGAAAACTACCAAGGATATAGTAATATTTTCTTTACTAATTTTGATTCAAATATCTATTCCTTCTTTTTCGTCTTCCGTACATGTAAATCTGCCGTACTTTAATCTGAGAGGTGAACAGTTTTGAAATCGGTTTTAAGCTGTTAACATGTAACCGCCATATAAAATCTAGCAATTCTATAATCTGCATTAAACATTGACTACTTCATGTACTTAGCATTTTTGAAGCATATGTAAACATGAACTAAAATACATGAGCGAAAAATATAAAGCATAATGAAAGATTCATAATGAATTAATATCAAAACGTTCTTGTAACAGAACTCCAGCATTACGGTGTATTACACAAGTGCTTTGGTACATTATGCTTCATAAGAATGATAGTAGAAAGGAACGGAGTAATTCATATAATACTGAGGTTTTATTTTTACCGGTATTTCTTTTTCTTCCTTTAAAACAATTTCATTTGTGATAGAGATATATCGCCAATGATTAATTGCAAATGAATCAATAGGTAAAAGATAAACTTACCTTAAGTCCTATTTCATTAGTGCCATCCTTGATATCAAACATATATCCATGCCATGGGCACATCACGTGACATCTTCCTTTGTAATCTTCGATTTCCCCACTGAATAGTGGACCCCCTATGAACAATGACATTTTTACATTACAGAACGTAAAGTACTATAGTATACTTTTATACTTTCATAATATTTGGATGTACTTCACCTTCTAGATCTTACAAAAGTCCAAATCTTTGATACAGGAATAAGAAATATCAACGTCAGAGGAATAAATTAAAGAAAGGATATGAAAAGATGCATTTATCGTACTAGCCATTTTAATATAACAGATGCATAAATTGAGATATTGGCATACTGTGGTAAAACAGAATACCGAACCAATATTAATGTCTTTTAAAAGTACAAAGTGGTCTTACTTATTCAGTGCAATCAAAAACAAGTCTTTGTATCTTACAAAGGCTAATAGAAACAAACTTTTACAAGCTTTTATCTTAAAAATACCTTTGTCTCAAACATCGAAAGTTTCAAATGAATTCAATTGAACGTATGTGAATTTGTTAGGATTGGTTAAGTGGCACTCCTTTTCTTTCTTCCCTCCCCCGTTTTTTTTTTTTTTTTTTTTTTTTTTTTTTTATACCTTCCGCTTCATATCTTCCCCTCCCAACCCTTACTTTAACTTGAACTATGACCCCAGTGGCGGATTGAAGGTGGTGCTACGGGCGCCTTCCTAAAATTTGGCCAATTTCTCTTTTCCCTTAAATATGGCATAGTAAGTAGATACTGCACTGGAAACTATTTTAAACTAAATTTTTACATTTGAAAATATACATAACATTAAATTATGCACCCCCTACCCTTGGAGATGTATACGTAGCACACTGGGTGATGTTTAGATAATTTGTAATTTTAATTAATGTTGGAATAAATGAAAATTTATTTACTCTAAAATATATTTCTATTTTTGGATTCTATTTCAGTAAAGATATGACATCTAAATTAATTTTTTACGCATTTCCAAGTTCATTGTAATTCTAATTAAACCAAACACTTTAATTAAATGATACCTCACCTAAATGTGAACACCAAGCTTCCATGGCGTAAAACTTTCCCTCGTGATAAAAAAGCGCCAAATCGTAAACCTTTCCACTGGCAGAATACAATCTCTGGCATTTCTTTTTGTTCAGTTCTTCCACTGTCCCCAAATATCTCCATTCTTTCCCAGAATCGCCCATTTCAAACGTCCGTCTGCATCAGGTGAAGATGTCGACGTCAGATCAATGCGCGTAAATCAAGGATCTTGATGTCTTCGGAAGAGGTTGTTAATTGCTTTGCGGATCAATACGGATAAATGTTTTCGCTCATCAGAGTTATTGATTACAGGTTCCAGAGTTCCAGATTATCTAGTAGATTGCTGTGTGATGAACTGAAATGAACCTGGAAATCTTACCTGGAGACAGTCGGAACTCCTCGGATATATCCTGTACACTCGATAGTGCGAGATATCCGAGGAGTTCAATTTAACGTACATGTAGATAAACGAAATTGTGAAACGTAAATTGAAAGGTTTGTTCCTGCATAACATGCATAATTGAGCGTCATTTGTTAATAAAGTGTTTATAAAAGCGAAAAAAGGGTTGTCACAGTTAAAGAAAATGCATACTTATACAAGTAAAATTGATGCAAAGCATCAAATTTATCGACTGCAAACAAAATTAAACATTTTTCATAAAAAGTTCTTTTTCTTCAAAGGTAAAAAAAAATCAAGATATTTTTTTTAAAAATGCAGCAAATGGCGTGTGCTTTCAGTGCATTTGTTAATAAAATCGATTCATCACTTGCCATGAATCTTTGTCACGTGAAGAGGCGGTGAGGTGCAACACACAAAAATGCTAAAAGAAATATCCTTGCTTCATTGGCAGCTGTAGCATATTCAAAGCACTTTTACTTGGTCAGCTTATTTTTATTCATCACTTTTTGTATCCGGAAAATGTGTCGATTTGAGTTCACACCTTACACATTCCAAAGTTGGGGAGTACCTATTGTAAAACTCTTTCGTTTAGTCGTAAATAACTGATGAGAAAATGAAATTAAAATTGACAGATGTAGCAGCAGTTTAAACAAAATTTAGGACAGGTTTTTGAAAATACTTTTCTCATAATTTTTATACATTTTATCAATAACAATCATTGCTTATTTCCCAATATGCACTTTCTATCACAACCACTAATAGATAATTGGAATAACTGGTCATGACCAAAACTTTTTTCTGTAAACATATATGGGCAAACATAAAACATTCATTCAAAAAATACAAATGTAGTGTTTTGGCCTGCTTCATTTTTACCTTTCCTTTCTTATTATATGTTCCGAATAACTGGTACAATAATACATTTAGTAATATTTCAAGATATTATTTTATTCAATTATTATTTATTTATTATTTCATTCATTCATTTCTTCATTGCGGTAATGGTTTTTGTACAAAACACAGGATATTTACCTGATGCTCTGTTTTCTTCGTAAACGAAATTGAGTACTAAAAGATTAGATTTTTTTTAACCAAAATGTGAGTAAAAATAGCTGATCTATTCTAATGTTCTGATTGGTCATTGAAAAAAAAAAGATAAAAAGATTTTTTTTAATGTAATATATCTTTCCTGATTAAATTTGAGAAGGTATAAATTACTTCCTGAATACATGTATACATTAATACATGGTCCTTAGACCTCTATATAGAGAGATCACGATCAGGATTTTAATAGACTTTTTTCGTCTAGCCCTTGTAAATAGTTGGATATGGAAGGTAAGCACTCTCAGACATAAATTTATTTGGACGAAAATAATGACCACGACAAATAAGTACATGGGAATGTCACCTAGACTAAACACAATAATCTAATTAACAACCATTACAACCGAAGGCCCCCAACTCGGTAATTTTGTGTGCGAAGAAATGTCGTGTTCTGAACATACGTGTCCATTTGTTCACATCTCGAAAGGATAAATATATGAACCATAGTTTTGGAGCGTTTCATGAAAAGATTTTACTTTAATTTTATTCTTGGGAGCCAGAAGGAAAGCGAAAATACATTTAGATCTGTGCTAGTGTGTAGTTTCTTTTACGGAATATTACAATGAATTTCGGACATCAGTTTCACAGAAACAAAAACTGTGCTTAGTGTTGTGGTTAATACATAATTATGAATTTGTTAATGTTCCTCACTCACATACTGTTTTTCCTCGTTGACCTTCACCTTGTGAAAGGTCGAGGTCATCTGATTGACCCCCCTATGAGGTCAAGCTTGTGGAGATATTACCCTTGGAATCAGATGGGTGTCCCTAAAAATGTGGACGACACAGGACTGAACTGCGGGGGATTCTGGGTAAGTTTGCAAAAAATGCAGAGATTTATGGTATGTTAAAAAACAATTACATATTCTAGTCTGTATCATCCAGACGTTTGCGTTTACCTCCACAAACGCAAACGACTGGATGATACAGACTATTACATACTCCGCACCTTAAGTACATGTATAATTCTTACTTAAACGAAATATTTATTCTAAAAATGATTATCTAATAAGGAAAATTCAAGTTATATTAATTTTTCTTCCAATTTTAATCTAGAACAGTAATATGTAGTACAGGTGATGATTACTAGACATGTATTTATTACCGTCTTCCTTGGAAGACGGAATACAGAGTTGAAGTATTTTACAGTCTTCGGACTATGCACTTCCTCTCTTTTGTGATTGGTAGAAATTGCATGATGAAAAAATTTTCAATTATTTCATTGGTTGAAATGCTGTTCAATGCAAGGGAGATAATTTTCTGATGATCTAATTTTCGTACGACTTAACAATTTTTGTTTCTTAACAATTTGGCAGTAATTATTTCGATATAACATGCTAGTTTTTTTTTTAAAGCAATTACCAAAAAAAACAAGATGTGTTTGTGAAACACTATGCCCCCGTATGGCAGCTTATGTCGAAGGTTAAAGTTTCTCAAATGCAAGTCAAAATTCAGGCCAAAAGATAAAAAATGTTGATACCCAAAGAAAGATCTTGTCTCGAGGAAAACACCTGTGAAATTTGAAAGACCTAGATACAACTGTTCAAAAGTTATGGTGAAGGTTAAAGTTTTTTAAATAAAAGTCAAACGTCAAGGTCAAGGTCAAAGTGGTTGGTATCCAAAGGAAGATCTCGTCACAAGGATTACATATGTGAAGTATGAAAGCCCTAGCACCAACCATTCAAAAGTTATGGCCAAGGTTAAAGTTTTTCAAAAGTAGGTCAAACTCCTAGGTCAAGGTCAAAGGGTCAAAGTGGTTGGTATCCAAAGGAAGGTCTTGTCACAAGGATTACATATGTGAAGTATGAAAGCCCTAGTATCAACCATTCAAAAGTTATGGCCAAGGTTAAAGTTTTTCAAAAGTAGGTCAAACTCCTAGGTCAAGGTCAAAAGGTCAAAGTCGTTGGTATTCAAAGGAAAGTCTTGTCATAAGAATTACATATGTGAAGTATGAAAGCCCTAGCTCTAACCATTCAAAAGTTATGGCCAAGGTTAAAGTTTGTCAAAAGTAGGTCAAACTCCTAGGTCAGGGTCAAAAGGGTCAAAGTGGTTGATATCCAGAGGAAGGTCTTGTCACAAGGAATACACATGTGAAGTTTGAAACCCTAAGCACCAACTGTTTAAAAGTTAAGGCCAAGGTTAAAGTTTTTCAAAAGTAGGTCAAAGTCCAAGGTCAAGGTCAAAAGGTCAAAGTAGTTGGTATCCAAAAGAAGGCCTTGTCACAAAGAATACACATGTGAAGTTTGAAACCCCAAGCTCCAACTGTTCAGAAGATATGGCCAAGGTTTAAGTCTCATAAAATTTTGCAAAAGTGGGTCAAACTCCAAGGTCAAGGTCAAAAGGTCAAATATGATGGTACCCAAAGAAAGGTCTTGTCACAAGGAATACACATGTGAAATATGAAAGTCATAGCTCCAACCAATCAAAAGTTATGGGCAAGGTTAAAGTTGACAACAGACAGACAGACAAACAGACAAACAGACAGACAAACAGACAAACAGACAGACAGGACAAAAACAATATACCCCCGGGATCTTTCGATCCGGGGGCATAAAAAAATTCTATATTTTCATTCTTAACAGAATTGATCTTTATTGCATGCAAGCTTTACAGCTTGTATGCATCTTTTTCCCTTTGTTTTTCACTGTCTTTCTAATCTCGGCAGCACTCGGCAACACCTCGGCCGATTCATACCTCATCTACATATCTCAAAGGGGATGGAATCAGCCGAGGTTTGCCGAATGATATGAACGGAAGCAGAGTCGAAGTTTACGGAGACAGTCGAACATCTGTTAACTTTTCACTTGGTAGGGTTTATGTCAGAAAAAAAATTATGAAGAAATAGAAAGCCATGTAATTTTCAAGAATTATACGGCCTGATACGTTTAGTTCGGTTTACTGTTTAAGGTTGTTGCTAAAGACGGTAAGCTTTTTGAAAAAGCTCTACTTGTTAATTGTTTACCTCAAGGGCATGTTTCTGTTTTTTCCTGCGAATACATTATTGTCGTGTATTGGGCTTTTGATAAAGGTATATATTGATGTTAAGCTGACACAAACAGCATATAGCATGTATAACGTTTTGGATAATTCCGATGTCTGTTGTCGTATTTATAAACACTAGATAAGGCCGTCTTTAAATTAATGTTTGCTTGCCCTCTCCCGACACAGGGTAAAAGAAATTGGGTCGCTATAGGTAGGTGGGAAAATCGTTTTTTTTCTCAGATAATTTCAACATATGTGTTGACGAATGGGAAAATTCAGGAATAAAACGAAAAAAAAATGTCTTAATTCCTGGAGGTTGAAAAAAGTTTTTAGTCGGGCCTTTTTGAGTCAGTCGGTCGGGAGAGGGCAACCAAACATTTTTTGAAGTTGGCCTAAGGAAGCATTGTTACATGTGTAACTGTCTATTTCACCAACAAACCTCGGGTAAAGAGATCCACCTGTAAGGCCAATTTTTTTTTGCATTTTATTCATTTATTAATGACAATTATTTCAAAGTGATTGATATATATTTTTACGCTCTCATTCGTGGTAAATTTCATAGTCATATGGATAAAAATAGAGTTATATACCAAATGAAAATGTCAACTGTAAGACTGTGATAATTATCATTCTTTATATCCTTTCTAACCAAAAGCAAATTGGAATATTTGAAAAATAC